AAATCAGAGAAGTAATATGCGGACGTAAAAGTGCGAAGGCCTAATTATTATTGAACGCCTCTTTCTCTCTTTCTCTCTGTCCGCGAAGAGCGTACATTGTAGAAAATTACTGTTGCGGGCCCGCAACGGAGCAAGTTCCAAACTCCGAGATGGATCCGCAGACTCCATCGCCCGAGGATCCATCATCGGACCCGCTCTTTGGCCGTTGCGTGGTAACTACAATTGAAGAGTTCAATTAGAAACCGGTCCGGGTTAGCCGAGAGCTAAACAATTGAGACAATATATACAGTCGGACTCTGGAAGATGTCGAGGATGCGTTTGCGAGACTCGCTCTAGTTCTAAAGAGCTCAGTCTGATGATCGTCGAGTTTTTGTTATATATCTCCGAATATTGAAATTTTAGCTAAAGGAGCAGCTTATTGATTATGCATTTCTATGTGTAGTTTGTGCACCTCTTTGTGTAAGATTTAAATAAGCCGCGGCGAAATGCGAAGCAATAAAATAGCCTAAAAGTGTGAATTTTAATAAGTGCAATTTCACGAGCTTGATCACCTTCACATTTCTCGAAGCTTTCATGATAAAATAGTTTTTAATAGGACTCTTTATTCGCGACCCACTCTCGATTTACTGTTTCGATTGATCGGTAGTCAATAAAGTATCGATTTGCTAAAAATAGAATGCATTCTGCCGAAATATAATTCTACCTTTCGCGAGATCTCGATATGTCTTGTCAATTAATTGGCGATATAAAACTGTATCCTCGAAAGTAAATTCATGCTGTTATCGAGCTACTTTTTTTAGAATAAGAATTTAATCACACATTGTGTGCAAAGTTTCTAAATTGTTATTCACGATTTCTTTGCGCGACAATCGCATAAGTTATTGCAATCCTCAAAGTGCATTTTTGCGGAGGAGAAGTGTGGCTCTGAAGCATTCTTAGAATCGTTCGAGTCCACTTTTAACGACGAACGCATTCTACCAGGTCGCATTGGCGTAGTTTCTTCAGATTCGTTTTGTCTAAGATATTTGACATTTCCTTTTCCGGAAAAATTATCACGCGTGTTTTGTATTAAAAACCATTAGACAATTATCAACATTGAGTAAACAGTAAGTAATGCATTAAAATTTCGTGTCGCTCGTAAAACATGCGTGGCATCCAAAATAATATGAATTGATACATAAATTACAAAGAGAAGAAACGTCATTTTTATATGATTTGAATTATCTCTATAAATATACTTCTATTATGAACCATTAGATATGTAAATCATTTATACCTTTTATGTATTATTTATATTCGAGTTACACGCATATTGATTATTGACTCGATTGAACCAGAGTTGGGCTAAAATATAAATGAATTAATTTATATATAGCTTGCTATATAGTCGTCGATTAAAAAGTCGAAACAAATTTTAAAGAGACAATAAAAACAACAGTCTGCTTCGTTTCGCGAAGCTACGCCGGTGACTAAACAGCTGGAAGAGCTATTCGGCTTGCAATCAGAGCGAGACGATTATGTCAAATCGGCAAGATTGTTTCTCTGAAACATAAATTGCAATCTGCTTTCGCGATAGTTATGTCCGTATTTTATTAGCGCTTTGTTTCGAAAAAGAACTCTTCGAATTCTTCGAGTTTCTCTCATCGTTTCACACGTCACGTTGAAAAAACTCTTAGATACGTGGACGAAAAACATTAACGTAATAATGTTGATGAGGAGAATCGATCTCTGTTTATAATTGTTTCGGATTTATGTACCGCGACGTCTTAATCGCGACGTGGCACTTCCGGCCGGACCCTAATCGAGTGCGGCGTGTCGTTTCAGTGTCAAAATGACAGATAGCGGGAAGTAATTGAGGCAAAGAGGCACAAAGCAAATAATACGATACGGTTTACCGTATTTGCTCGTCGAGTAAAACGTTATATGTATATGCGTGCTCCTGTCTTTTATATATCCCGCGAGTTAAATCACTTTCGGAAAATGTGCGTCACGATCGATCCGACGAAAACACCCTGTTCCGATCGCCGTAATATGTCAAATAAATGGCAGCGCAAACGCAATTAGCATTTCCGCCTCATTTCGAGCGCGATCGCGGTGTAAATAAACGGTTTTAATTATTCAAAGTATATATGCGTTGTACATGACTTTTTAATTATAATGTTTTAAATATGTCGATCATGAGCGTCCGCAGAGGGGGCATTTGCCTTCCCTTGGAATCAGTAAAAAAGCATTTGCTCTCCTTTTGAACAAACATCCAAATTTATTTGCATATACAATATAATATTGAAAAAATTAAAATAAAATAAAATAACAAAAAAATAAATGAAAAATTGAAAAAATTAGAGAGAAGAAATTAATTGTGGAATTTTTTCTTCTGGAAAAAATCCTGCGAACGTCCATGATATTGATCATGATATTTTTTTAAAACTGCTTGTATCGTGTATATTTTTTTACGCATATATCCGCGTCTTATAAGGAAATGTCTTGTACGTGCTTTCTCCTGCGATCTGAAATATCTCCTTAAGCAAAAATTATAATGAGACGTTTTTTTTTTGGACAAGCTCTTAATCTTTCACGCATCATGTCATGTCTTTGCGATTGATTTTTACAATGTTTCTACGATTGAAAGGAAATTCGCGATATCTCCAGGATTATCCTCGAACTACAGAAATTGTATTACGCCGATCGACATTCGCAAAATAGTGTATAGAAATGTATTTGAAGGATTACTTCGTTTCATTGCGTGTCGATGCTCCTGTCTCTCTTTCTCTCTTTCAAAGGCATTAAGCGTACTTCGAACAAAATAATCGGGCGGGAGAATAATGTTGCTCGTACGCATAAATACATTTCACTCACGCCACGCGAGTAATAGCGGGTTTCATTACCCGCACGAAAAAGTCGGCGCATTGCGGAGAGAATGTAAACGCTAATTATGTATTTTGCACGTACCTGTATTTTAACGTTTTACACTTTTATGTCCCTTTGCCCGCGTGCAATGATCGCGCCCGCGTAATGATCCCTCGGCTCAGTAACATTTCCCGTATATATCGTATTTCTCTCTCTCCCGATTAAAGCAAATTAAAATTATACCTTCTAAGAGAGAAAGAGACAGATATGCGTTGCGAGTTTAAATTGCTTTCGCAAATTATAGATATCTCGAAAGCACGCGGTACAACATGAGGCATTTTTTTTCTTTTCGCGAATTTATCACGTTTATAAATTGTACGTGTATGTTTATACGAAACACACACAAAACTGTTAAATCTTTTATTGCTCCCGTTTGCGTGACGAGTGACTGATACTTTGCATCGGATTAAAACTCCCGATTTCGAGTTCTCTCTCTTCTTCCTGCAGATGTAGAATAATATCGTTCGAATAAAAATAGGAATTAGAGATGAACCAGGCTCTAAGTCGAAGAGAACAAAAAGGGTTATCGAAGCGAGATGATAACGTAACGTGACGACTTCGGCTTGTCCGCACCACCATTAAAGTGTCACTCGGTGTCTTCGACGATTTCGTACCGGGCTCTGATCGCGACGACGGCGCGAGTGAATAATTCGCCGCTAATACATAATTGATATCCTCTATATACGGTTAGCAGTCGCGAAGTGCAGTAATGACACCAAGTAGAGACCCATGCCTCTCTCTAGCCCGGTTGCCGTCTAAAGATATACCCATCCCAATTAGAGGAATTGACATCGGTGATCGCCGTCCGGGAACGCCTCTCGTCGCTCTCTCTTGCTCTGTCCCTTTCTGTCTCAATCTCTCGTCTCGCTTTATATTTCGTCACTCGATTCTATCGAACGGCCGGTTCAATCCTCGCTGGGATATATAACGCCGGGAATTAATAATATCTGACAATCTCACTAATTACATAAATCATTTGTTCCTTCTGCATCATGTAAGTGAGACACATATAATTCGAGCAAATATATATATATACATATATATGTACATATATATCTCACATGCGCGATCGTTATCTCGTCACAAAGATAATATAATAACGTAATGGCAAGAGAAATAAGTAAAGCAATTAATGTTTCAGATAGTATTAAATAGCTAATATCTTTTTTCACTAAGATATCGCACACCGTGGAATATATAATTACGCGAATTATACATTTATATAAACCCGATATTTAAATAACTGCCGGTAGAAAAAGAGAAAAGGAAATGTGAGAGAGAGAGAGAGGGATACAAATGTATCTTTTATTAGATATATGCTTTTTGTTAAATGAGGATATTTTTAAACCGTCGAATGTATTTTTAAGTTTAATTTTCAGCTTATATCCAGAGCTATGTGTGCGAGAGACACTCTAATAAAGTTACGACGCTACTTTGCACATTACGATAAATTAATGAAGATCGATAATACGATGTACATTGAAATATCGCTATTTTGTAATTAAAAAGTGATTCGAAGAGCTCTAGTGGAACGAAATGTTTAAATTTAATTTTCTCTCTTGCTCTACTCTCTTGAGAATATTTAAAACATTATTTACTCGAGACAAAATCATCTCGCTTCAAAATCAAGATACCACAACGAGATATATCAGTAGCAGTAGCTGATAAAGATCTATTTACCGAAAGTATATCTTATTTTCATTTCTCAGTTGTAAAACTTTCGAGACTAAACGCACGTTAATCTGACAAGGAAAATTTTCTCCCCCCACACACGCAATGTTGATTTTACAAATTAAACATGAATTTAATTCTGAGAAAAGGAGAGCGATCGAAGAAAAATCTTCGCGCGAATCTCTTAAGGATTATACCGAGGAATCATCCAAGTTTCGATAATCATTTACTCGAAATAGAAATATTCAAGAGATTCGTCCACTGGCTGAGATAATAATTTTCGGAATATCAATTTTCTCATTAATAAGAAAGGGAAACTTGACGCGTTTAATCTTCCCCAATATATGTACATAGAGATAATTATTATCTCTGTACGTCGGAGCATACACGCGTGTCGCTAAATTACCTTATATACTATATACCTGCTAGTCTATCCTTGAGATGAGGATGCGGCTGTAGGGGATGCGCGGCTAGGTTCGCCAAGAGACTCGCCCTGTGGAGACCAGCCGCCGCGGCCTGTTGCTGACTGTGCTGGAGGGCCTGGAGGCTCCAGGGTGGTATCAGGGTCTGGGCAGGTAGAGCGCCGGTCGGCGCACCGTTCGCGCCCGGCGGCCGGTGCGCCGGTACCCTTATAACACCGCCGCCGGTGTAAATAAGATTGGTACCGGTAGGGAAGAGTCGGAAGGGTGCGAGAAGATCCGCCGCCGACGCGCAGTGAACGGACGAGGACGAGTTGGCGCGAGTGTCAGGCGTACTGTCGTCGTCGTCCTTCTCCGACAGCTTCTCCTCGGCGTCGTGGCCCCAGGACCGCCTGCCATCCTCCAGGATGCCACCCAGGGACGTCTGGTGGTTGTTGTTATTGTTATTATTGTTGCCCTCCTCCCAGGACCATTTTCTCTCCTTGTCGCTGTCCGGCTCCTCCGAGGAGCCTGGACTTTTCGGTGGGTTCCGGACGCCGCTGTCACCCAGCAGACGACTTATGCTGAACGGGTGGCTCCGGGAGGAGTCGCTCGGCAACGTTCTCGCGCCAGTTTGGCTCGGGGGTGGCGAAGTCGAGCACTCGGACGTCTCCTGGGACACGTGACGGCCGTCGTGGCTCGCGTAATTTCGCGGACTGCAGCTACGAGAATCCGAGTCGTCCACGTTGATCTCCTCCGTCGCGTCCACGTCGCTGTCGCCGCGTTCAGACATGGTCCCTCGGTCTCCTCGCGAGAACTCGGCGCTTGGTATCGGCTTCCGCGAGAAAAGATAATTTTACGTTTCAAACGACGGGTGTCTTCATCGAGTCGTCTCACGCAGTTTTTACAGCGTTTCGCGAGATGAATGATGGGGATGGAATGTCGGGGATGGAGAAGATTAATTCGGAGAGAGAAGTTTTTGTGTTGATTTTTGTTTCTTTTTTTCGGAGGACTAGATTACGATGGATTCGAGAGTTCGAGGAGCGCGGCGAGCGTTTAAATTTATCGCACAACGAGTTTGATCTGGACCACCTAATAAATTTCCCGTTGAACGGCGGCCATTTTGTTTCTACGCATGTATACCGACGCTGGTATCATTTATATTATACACAGGACGGAAGAACTTACCGAGATATATTCATTTCTCCTCTCAACTTTTTTTTCTCGCTAATTCACCGTCTTTTTCTCTTCAGTTTGAGATGCAACATTCCACCGCGAATTTTTCACTGACTTCGCTCACTGACTCGATCAGCAATAACAATTCTGTCCGTGTCGATACACCAATTCTGTGTCTTCAGAAACTAAAATCCATTCTCGAATCACGTCTTTTTTCCACAAGGCGAATCTGGAACCAACGAGCCTCTGTCGAGGCTGGTCTCTCTGTCATCTTGGACGAAGATGAGAAATGCCTCTCTGCTGTTTCGTGCGGATCACTTTACATAGGTCGAAAACCGAGATTGGGGAAATTCTTTTCCTCCCGAAAAAAACAACCAATTGCACCAAGTCTGAATCTTGACAGGTCTCAGTCTCAGAATCCAGAAACTTAACTTCTCGTAACACTAAACCAAAGACGCGCGCGACGAAGGACTCTCGCACTTCATAAACATAACAGTTCCCCGGATCATTCGAACGACGAGAGGGGGTTCTCCGTTTAGTGAACGAGATTCGGAGAGTTCGATGGTTTTAACCGGACCGCCGGCGAGTGCGTGAATCCGGATCGGTCGCGTCGAGAGAGACCAGACGTTGTGAGGGCACCGGTGAAGCCAGATGGTTTATCCCTACCAGGACGGCGAGATGAGTCGCCGACTCTTGGCACCCGGATTCCGGGTAGCCTCGCCCACTGTTGGTTGTTCCGACCAATCCGACGACGACTTTGTACGCCCACGGACCCGCGCATTGGTCGCTGTTAAATTGATACCTATTTAACATTTGAGCAGAATGTTGCAGGCGCGATCGCCTTTTTCCCCTGTATTATTTATTGCTCGATCGTCGTGCCTCCTTTTTTCGCCCCCTTCTCTCGCTCGTTTCCGCCGCTTCTTTCCTTCGCGTTTCTTCTCCTGCCGCGTTCTCCACGGACAGTCCTTATAACCATCTCCTTCTCTCTTCCCCTTGCTCCATCGGAGTCGAGGAAGCGGCGGGACTTAATTACGGAGAATATTCTTACTACCCTCTCGCCCTCTTCTTCTTCTCCCTCTATCTCTCTCTCTCTCTCTTTCCCTTTTCGTTTCTCTCTCGTTTGTTCATCCCGTCCTATTATCGTATCATGGATGCCATGAGGAGAATGCAAGAGCAGCAAAGTTGCGTCTCTTTAATTTTAGACGTATGAGAGCGAAACGAAAAGAAACGTCATTTATCAATACTTGTTTTTAATTCTCTTCTTCAAGAAAAAAATGTCTCACTCACTCATTCGCGCACTCTCTCCTTCTATCTCAGGAAAACAAGGATCGCAAGAAGCCAATAACGAGATGATCCGTTATCCAATAATCCCGCTCCATTGTTATCCAACTCTCTTTCAACGTTATCTAATTATCCTGCGAGGTGCATGCCAACCGGTGATCCTTCTCGAGGGGGCGGGTCGATATCTCTTACCGGGAAGTTCCTTACGACCGATCGATTAGTCGCACCACCCCGTAGGGGTGGCTGTCCGACCGCGTAAATGCGCGGGCGCGTCCTTTTATATGAGCCGGTTTAAAATGGTGACTGTCGACAAGCTCGACCCGCCATTTTCCACGTCCTATCGAGAAAACGTATATCTTTCCCTTTAACCGAGCGCAAGAGGAAGCGCTTTTTTTCGCACCCTTCCACGAAGAAGTTCTACGATCGAGTTTGCTGTGTTAAATTTATCTTTACCGCGAAACGACGTTTGATTTATCCTCGCAGACTGCGATTAAATTGATCAAGGCAACAATTTTACATTTTATGTGTATAACAAAATTAACGATTTTTGGCACATTCAGTTATAAATATGTATTCATAAAATTAAATTGACGTCGACGTTAGTCCTATGCCCATTTTACATTTAATATTTCTACATCTCATGCTTTTGCGTGGTATACATTCCAATTGATTCATTTGAGCATGAACAAATAAATAGAAAAATAAAAATACGAATTCGAAAAATTGATCAATTTTCTAGAATAAAAAATTATAAATTGAGCAATATTTACGCGAACATATTGCGTTGTGCGAAAATATTTCGATTGTCGATTCATTTGAGAGCAATCCACGATTCGCCGTGATGCGTTTGCGCAATAAACATTGCGGTACTTGCCGTAATAGCAACAAAATGATTCACCGCACACGTAGAGAGACTGTCCGCTCTCTCGCCTTTTGCATTACACCGCCTCGCACGGAACTCGTACTTTTCTAATGGTCAAAGTGTATTATTACGTAGCGTTCATATTACACGCGCGATTTAAACTCTTAAGTATATAGAATGGCTCGAGAGGAAGGATCGATACTGATGCATCAAGAATTTATTCACAAAGTATTCACACTGTTCAAGTGCCTTCAAAAATATTTTAATAATTTTTAAATAACGTTTGTGCTCAATTTTATCTCTCAAGATTAAATCTGTATTTCTTCGTTTTTTGAAAAATTTTTTTTTCCTATTTTTTTCTCTAGTTGTATAAACTCTGTTATAGAAAAATTATAACATGTTTTAATTATCGAAAAAAAGTTTACAAATCGATTAATCAGAAATGGTCAACAAAATTGATTACCTACACTAAATTGTATAAAAAATTTCTAGTCGAAAAATTTGTCGACAACGTATAAATGTAAAATCCAAATGATAAAATTAATTGCCATTATATACCGATTAGATAATTCAAATTTATTGTTAGATATGACATATATTAAATATATTTGCTGTTACGCAATAAAAATTTTCTCATATGCATTTTTTTTCAATTTATATTGCGTGTTAATCATTGGAAAAAATTTGTACGCGACTTGTGTTTGCAAGAAATATATACATATATTGCAGAAATGCATATATACACGTATGACGGTAAAGAGGGAGGAGAAGGAAAAAAAGAGTAGATAAACACCTACCGACACTTGTACTTGGAACCGTAAGACGACCGTGCCGTTACATCTGGGAAATGGATATTGCGATGCGAACGTTAAAAATGTCGTCACGAGCGCGTGTAAGACCGACCATGAGCGTTGATGCCGTTAAGTAATACCCTACTTTACGCGAAAAAAAGCCTCTCCTCGCTCTTATATATAGGGCAAGTCCTGTAGCTAGCCGTTTATTCGTGTTCTCTCGCGCTCGTCGAAAGACTGCGGCAGGGCCTAATTTAATTAGCGCCGTAAACGCGGCTTGTCCCGGAAGGGGACTCTCGTTCTCCTCTTCTCGTATCTAAAATTATCCGCTCTCTCGCGACGAGCCTTTCGAGCTAAAGCGGATTTATTGTTATTACCACCGGCGAGGCGTAAGTTCTCGATTCTCAAAATTGATCCGCGCATCCGGAATGCGGATTAACGCGATTTCGTGGGGACTTTGGGAATTATGCACGAGGTCTTACCCTCGCACGATCTTCTCCCTTTCTCGCTCTGTCTCTTCTCCGGTCCTGCAACAGCTCCTATAAAATCGGTCCCCTCCCGGAACTACCAGTGCAACGGTCCGTTTTCCATGCGTTCCGATCGAGGATCAATTTAGGTGTCAGGCGTCCATGTGTCACTTAGACGTTTTCACCGCCGTCCAAATAATTCATGCTACCCTTTGGGTATGCCGGTATAAACCCTCGCACGAAAAGCGCGCGAGTGAAAGAGAGAGAGAGAGAGGGAGAAGCGAGAGACGTGGAAAAAAGGTGGAATGTACAAGAAAAACGCGGGTTGACCGTTCGCCGACGGCAACTAGGGAGACGTGTTGACGTGAAAAACCAAGCGTACGCGCGTAGCCCTCGAGAAAGGCAACATTCTTTATTCAAAACTCTCTGACTTTTACTCACTGTTCGCATTTTTCGTAGCCGATTCGCGAGATTGCCGAGTGTTGGCGACGCGAGTAAGTCTTGAAGAAAATTAATCTAAAAAAAAAAAAATTATTTTACCAGACAAACGATATTAACAAGACATCGAGAAAGAGGCGATGTGCGCGATCTCTTTTTCAGATCGGAGAGCGAATAAATTTTTGAAGAAAATTAATATAAAAAAAAATCATTTCAGAACAGACAGAAAGTATTAACGAGAAAGAGGCGATGCGTGTGATCTCTTTTTCAGATCGGAGATTGGTCCCCGATGCCTCGGAAAAGCATGCCGTGTCGTTACGCGTTCGAGTAATCGTCGGGAACACGCGCATCAACCCCTGTCACCGTCCGAGTAGTTTCGCATTACGCAGACAGAATATTTATCTCGTAACGGAGCGGAGGCAACGCTAAATAATTGATCGGGAAGGGTGGGGACCGATGCACCTCGCTCTGTAGAAGAGAAAGGGGTGGAGAGAGGATCCGAGAAACGATTCCCTAGCAATTGGTCGGGGAATGGAAGAGCGACAAGTGATCCGCGAGTCGATAAGTCTCCTAGTTAAGGAAATTATTGTATATACTTGATTTTCTCTCGACAGCGACGTAACGTCATAAATAATTTCCAATCATTTTCCACGCGGGAGAAAAACGCATCTTCGTATATAATTACGACGCCATTGCGGTATCTTGGCGCGGTAATGGCTCCATTAACCGATTGCCAATGCAGTGTACGACACACAATGCAATCAGAGAAAACGGCTGGTCGTTAACGATTATAAGCGATTCACGGAGGGGGCTCGATTCGGCTTTATTCTTATCCCGCCCCCTCGGCTGTTTTCGCCGCGATATAATCAGGGAGAACGCTCTTTCACTCTCATACATCTTCATACATTCTTCTATTCGCGGCCTACGCGCGGAACGTGATATGAAACAGAGACATCAATTTCGTTACGGCGCGCCCATGTGACCGCGCGACACCTACACGCCCGTACCCCAAATTGTTACGTTCCCCGGGGAACCGGCTCGTGCGACCGTGGGGGGTCCGATGCACCCCCTCGATTTGGGGTCTTTCGCGCGCGAGGGATCCCCAGTCGGTGAGTTAAGGTAGGTGCGCGCTTCGAGTGCCTGCAATTTTACGCTACTATCTTAATATATCGATTAAATAAGGAGCGGATCTGGGAATATGTAATCGCAAGACATGATAAGTGAAAAAATATGAGAAATAGACATACAAAATAATCTTCCTTTTATTAATGCAATGTAAACCTCCTCGCACCCCTTCTGAGATGAATCTTCGACCCAAGGGAGGATAAGCGTGTCTCGATGATTGGCCTGTTGTGAAATCGTACACCGTGTATCGAGGGGTCCATATGCGCGCAGAAGCAAGTGTTCGCCCGTTCGTTCGTTCGTTCGCAAAAGATCAAATGTAAATTTCGGTTGCCACGGATCTCCATTACAAGTCGATTACACGGGTTGATACGCGGTATTTAACATATCGTATACAATCGACGACGATGATCGGGGATTTTTCGCGAGATGGGGATGCACTTGCGAGAAGGGAGAATAAAATTTAAACGCCTGCAATTTAATTTCCGCCTGCGAGCAATTTGTGCATCGAATTCGCGTAGAAATGGCTGACGTTATACACTGATAATTTAATACGCGATAATGTTTTTAAATAAATTTTCTCTGCTTTATAAATGATCTATTTTTAAGTTTCACGAATTTATTGTCAATACAAAGTAATTTAGCAAAGTCAGTCTTTTCTCGCAATACTGGCATTTTTTTTACAAAATAAAATATGCAGTACCTTCTCTGAAAA